GGAAGGAGAGTAGTGATGATCCAAGTCTACTAGATGACATCTACCCTGGAGCGGCGCGTCACAGTTTTTGGACACCTGCGATCAATCAAATCTCAAAGTGGCGTCACTGCTTCTGACTACCTACCATAGGCAGATCGTGCCAACCAATCTGAGACCGTGCAGTCCAGACGGAAGCAGAAGGATGCAGTTTGCACCGCGAACGTACAATTCCAGTTCGATGGTACCATTTATAGATGGAAGGATGGATGGCATTGCAATGGGGTCTCCGTTTGGTCCACTACTCGCAGATATATTCATGGCTTAGATTGAGAGTAGCACCTTGCGTTCTATCATCACACGGATGAACATATACAAGCACCACTATATGGATGATATATTCTGTTTGGTACCTCCAAACATTGATGTGGACGGGATCCTGAGAACGTTCAATGAATCTCATTCGTATCTCCACTTCACCATGGAACTAGAGAATGCTGATTCGCTATCGTTTCTGGATGTTTTTTCTACAATGACGGGGGAAACGAGAGAAGTGTATATCACAAGCTTACGTGGAACGGGCAATACCCGCATTTTCAGAGCTTCGTACCAATGCAACAGAAACGACATTTGGTGTGTGTTCTGGTCCACAGAGCCAGACAAATCTGCTCCGCCAACAAGCTTCCAAATGAACTGTCTCTGATAGGCAACACGTTAAGGAAAAACGATTATTCAGAAAGTTTCATCAAAAGGTACACTGTGACTGATTTCCAGCCCTGTTATTCTACGATCCCTAAGAAAAGGGTTTATGTAACAATTGATTTCATGGGAGATATGCTAACCGAAACGATAACTCGTCGATTATCCCAAGCCAATGAAAGAGCTTACTGTGCCGCTAAATTCTGTCTCTTCTTGGCTGCAAAGCATATGCTGCATTTACAACTCAACGACAAGTTACCTAGTCAGTCGATCTCATTTTGTGTGTACTCTTACTGGTGCTCTTGTGGAGCGGAATACGTAGAAAGAACCACTAGGCGATTGTCAGAGAGGATTCAAGAACACTATCCAGATTGGTTATCAAAGAGATCAATAAAATTGCGACTAGTGCCATTCTAGCCCACGGACTCGACGCGGGTCACCAACTGACACGTGACGGGTCATTCAAAGTCATCTACAGGGTAGCATAAAGTCGATCAAAAGGGGGTGAGACAAAGAATTCTATGCACAGCCGATGCGACCACGATTAGGCTAAATCAACCAATACTGTGTTCGCAAAAACAAGTTGTCAAGACCCTATTGCTACCCTGACCTAAGACCAGTAAGATCATGAAACAGACACATCAGTTTGACTCATCCTTGACTGGTCCATCCGGACACAGTCCTCAGCATCACTCATCACAATAACTGTATGAGTACTTACACTACGGATTACCACGATCTGTGTTGTGCCTATACATGTTCGATTATGTCGTATGTTGACCTGATGAGAAGTACCGAAAAAATAGATACCTTTGTCACTTTCAGACTTCTCTGACAGAAACGGGGAGAGAATGAGGGCAACTCTGTCAAACACCACTTTCTGTAGTGAACTCGAGGAAAAATGTGCCACAGGCTCGAACAAAAAATGACTGAGGCATTCGTAGTGATGTACGATGATTTTTTTTTTAAAAATCCACTGTCAGTACCCAATACAGGACGAAAATCCTCATCATTGCTCACCACCACACTTGCATTGAACCGCTTCGTGATCCAAGTATCTCCCTTTAGGGTACGTGCTTTCAACTAGCGGGAAACTTTGCATGCAATCTCTCTTTGTAATAACTGAGTAGAACTAGATTAGAACACTGAGTGCCTCGGGAGCTGGATCGCAGCTGAAAAGCCTGTTGGATAGGAGTTTACGTCACAACTAGCAAGAGTGAGGGTGACTGTAGCGAATCTATGACACCTGTGGCACCGCCGTGATATTTGGCTTTACCATAAAAGGAATGATGTGTACATTACTGCAGTTCGTAGTGTTCTACTTTACGGTACCGAGACCTGGCTCCTCTGAGCTGAAGATACTGATCAACTTACCGTGGCCAAACATCGATGTTTTCAAAGCATTGCTCATGTGTGGTGGTGAGCAATGACGAGGTTTTTCGTCCTGTGTTGGGTACTAACTGTAATGATTGTAGTAATCGTAGTAATACGCACGTAATGCAGAACACCAAACACGCAATGTGAATCACAGGACACGAATCAACAATCAGCTATCATGGACTGGATCTCAGAAGCACTGGACCACAATGGCATCGATTCGCAATGTCCTACGAGAACGAGACGCGAGGAAAAGGCCACAGGAATGGTAGTAAGCAGTAGTTCGTTTATTGAAAGAAATGAAAGTGATTAAATAATATGTGCAAAGGGAGATTATTGGCTATCTGGGCTTCCACCAATGGGATTGCAGTACTGCTTGCATAGTCTTGCTTCTGTCTGCACTGTCTTGGGTTGGCTGGCACCATCCACCAATGACGTGTATTCAGAAGCCATGCACGTATTATTGACGTCAGCATTCAAATTTGATTGCTCGCCAATGTCCTGAAACTGTAACGCGCCGCTCCAGGGTAGGCGCCGTCGCATAGGCCTGGATCACCACACTGACAGTGGGTTTTTTTTAAGAAGAAATCATTGTACATCACTACGAATGCCTCAGTCAACTTTTGTTCGAGCCTGCGGCACATTTTTTCCGAGTTCACTATAGAAAGTGGTGTTCGACAGAGTTGCCCTCTCTCTCCCCGTTTCTGTTTAACTTTGTTATAGATTTCATTCTTGAAACAGCCCTATCCTCAGGCGAGGATAGTAGCATCGATTTACTCCCAGATGAGAAACTCTCTGATCTGGAGTATGTAGATGATATTGTGCTACCAAGTAGAGATCCAGGTAAATTGCGAACTTTTCTGGATAGTTTGAGTGCTATTGTAGCCTTCCTTGTTCGGTATACGTTTTGCACCTTCAGAGTGTAAAATATGCTGCAGGCTTGGGTTGGCCCAGCCCAGCCCACAACCTCGTTCTAATTGGGGGAGTAGTAGAGGAAGTAGACAAATCTCGCTATCTGGGTAGCTATATCTCATCTGGCGGACGCGTCACAGATGAAGTTTCAGCACGCATGCAGAAGGCTCGATTGGTATTTGCAAATTTACGACATCTGTGGTACGTCGCAACATCCAACTATCGAAGTTTCAGCACGCATGCAGAAGGCTCGATTGGTATTTGCAAATTTACGACATCTGTGGTACGTCGCAACATCCAACTATCTGTGAAGGAAGGGTCGAGTATATGCTGCAGCAGTTAGACTGGTCCTGTCATACGGTGCAGAGATTTTCTCGACTACGGGAACAGGATAAAAATAGATTGTCGGTGTTCGAGCAGCGCTGTGTACGTCGTAGTGCACGTGTCTGGTGGGGAAGCCGGACAAGCAATACTGAATTTAGACGTAGATTTTTATGTAACCTCGATCGTCCACAGGAACAAGTGGTCGACCTCCATAGACTACGCTGGTTTGGACGTGTGTTGCGCATGTCGTCAAACAGGTTGCCACGGCGAGTGATGGGTGCCGTAGTAGGTAGCTAATGGGAAACGGTCAAGGTCGGTCAAACTAAGCCCTGGCAAGAAAACCATAACTAGATCACTGGATCACTTCGGTCCTGTTGGATTTCCTGGATGGGGACCTCGAGATCTTGCTAACTGGTGATTGAAAATATTGAGTGACATGGCTGAGTGTCATAAACAATGGAGCTCACGCACCTACTCATTTCCTTTACAATCTTAGTCCATCAGAAATCTCTATCTTCTTTGATTTTGTTTGCAACATGCCATTCTTCCCTCTGCTCTTTTTATCCAAATTTGCAACAAAAAGACAGTAATCGAAATCGGTGCATGACAGTGCACGGTTATTGGTGGTCTAAACTGAACCTGAAACATGATTTCACTAATTTCATCATGACACTACTCCCGTTCTAACAATCTCCCTTCGACTCTTTCTCTCAAAACCCCTGCACTAAACTACGCAGTTTATGATTGTATAAACTGAAAGTGTAACTGTATAGTGCTCAGGAAAGATTTCACTTCAGCTGGTGATGAAGCGTTTACAAACAAGCTTCAAAGCCCGTGGAACAAACGAAAATACATTAGATCTATTTGAACAAGCGGGAGAAGAGTGGTCAGCACACAGAAAGCGACAGTCCAATCATGTTTATACATTGTCAAGCATTCTAGGCTCGTAAAAGTATTTTTACAATACGAATACCACAACTGGCCCTTTATTGTCATACTCTTTGGTGTCTCCAACCCGTTGGTTACCGGGTAAATTTAACTCTGAGTCCTGGGAGAGAGAGAAACATGTACTTTACTCCGCCTCTCTCTGAAGTGCTTCACACCTCGTTTGCACGTCACTTGTTCACTAATTTGCATGGTTTCTTCCCTTCAGAACGCTACAATAAACGACTGCTTGAGATTCAAACACATGAAACCCACCTGGATAAATATGATCATATCCATTTTAGGCACAAAACCGCAATGAGTAAAAGTATTAAAAATGGATTATTGGCAAAACAGTCAGGAGTTGGGTAATACCAAACATAGCTCAATAAAAATATTGCTCTTAGTTAGAACCTGCAACTTAATCACGAGTGGTGGTGTGCAAAATTACTCATTTAGTTATGTGTCTCTTGTACCAGCCCCTGTCGACAGCATGATATGTGCTTTGACGGATCACGTGTTTCGAAATCGGTTTCAAACCAGCTTTTCAAAGTTTAGAATTAATCAAGTAAATCTCACTAATTCCGGATGCGTGCATGCATACATGCATGACTCAGTCATGCAGGTACAATGGAACAATGGATCGATACTTACGCTATCGCACGAATCACGTGACAGATGATCACAAGTGGTACGTACTTGACTAAACGTGCCCCATCTCTCAGCATAACTTTGAATCGACCGGGTATTTCGAATTAGAGCAAACGCTACAGATAGACTAGCGCGTGATGGACCTGGGCGGTCTGTCGGGATTACTGTTTATCTTCATCAACCTATGCCTGGCCATTTTCTATCTTACACAGCTTATCATTTCAAATAAAGCGAATCGCGTTTTGAAAAACCGTTGGATGCGGCAACATTTTCTCGATTTGGTCAATGTACGTTCTGGTCTGTTAGGCGCATTAATTGGCGAATCGTTTACGCTGGCCATTCTATTAATTTTATTATGGTGGGTTGTGCATCGATTTGGGGTGCGTGAAAAATATCGCTTGTTGCATATTCGACATCTCGCCGAGGATAGTTCATCCAATCGATTCGTCGACAACTCCAATACCTCTCGGTTGAACATGCTGGGTACTGTCCGGAACTCACGATACCTACAACGACTTGCCCAAGTCTTAGAAACATACGGGTTATCGTTTCGACGACAATTACGGTTAGCTTCGGAACCGCAGCGGATGGAAATGCAAAATGTCAGTGACACCAGGCGTCAAAACCAAGCCGCGCCTGCGGATGAACGTTCGCGAAGCTCAAGACTCCAAACGACTGGGGATTCTGAAATGGAAACTGAAACGTTATTGCATGATTTCGGTATTGAGGGTGGTGTGGAAAGTGCCACTTGTCAGTGGAAAGATCCAGATTCCGTGTTAGCACACCCGGGAGATGGATATGCCAGTTCAAGTCAGATGCCAAATATGAGAACTAGCGAAATTCATGTGATCCAAAGCATTCCCACAAGGCGTTGGTCAGCCACTTATTCGCACACTGTATGTTTGTTGTGCGTTTACGGTTTGATCTTTCTCAGTCTAGTTGTACCGCACTGTATCCTGCAAATCGCATTGAATGTGTTACAACAAAATTTGGCAGTCAATTTTGTCCGACTAAGCCAATCCCATACCAAATGGGCTTTGAATGAATTTGTCAACAAAACGGATGAGGACTATGATATCTGGTACACGTTACGCGACAGTTTTGGTTGTCACACGGAAGGAAATAACAGTTATTGTTTTCAAACAAAAGAAGAAACTCATCTGGACGAATATGCATTGGTTCATCTTTGTGCTGAATCGATGCGCGTTCCAGATACCTTCGAAGAATCCCTTCCCGCCTGTAGTCCGATCGTGTATGATTGGATTGAAAGACACAAATGGCATTCCACTATTCGGTTGACTGTATTCATACTAAGCTATACAATTTGTGTCAGTCTGATTATTCGTACAGTGACATGGCCAATTGCTTCCAGTACATGTCAGACCTACCCTCGAGTGGATTGGTGGAAAGGAGCTGGATATCGATCATTGCCCTCATCTGATGAGTCAAAGAGACCGGGTATTTTCGGACAGCCTTTGTATAGATGCAATCGATCCGGTCCGTGGATTGAAGGACAAAACCATGGTTATTGTCGATTTTAATCACTCCTGAGAGGTAATGAATTTTTCCTGTGCGATTGGATTATTAACTTATATGAATTGATCAATATATTGATTTTGTCTCAACTTGTTCGGTGCTCAAATTCTGTTGATTATCGCACCTCACAGTCGCACTGTTCTCTCTCTCTCTCTCGGGGATTATCAGTCGGAAATAGCCAAAGCCTGACCCGCAAGGCAGCCGGGTGGTGTGTTAAAACCGAAATCCATTGGGAGGCAGTGTCCAGTTCATCGGATCATTTGCCCTTAGGACGGGGTCAAAGTCCAAAGTACCCAATCGAGCCGGTGACCAGTGCTACAACCTGGAAGGTGTGGGTGTTTATGGTTCGTACGCATCTTCTTGTTTGGTTTGGAATCGGGGTTTTAACCAGTTGCCAGTGTTTCACCGAACCCGTTATAGCCTCGGATATTCTCTTTACATCCTCTCGCTTTGGTGCGGGAAAACACCACCACGAGAAGGCCGTGTTTAGGGCTTCCTCAGCAAAAGCTTTTCTAGACGCTTGGTGGTGTGGAAGCATTTCGCTAGGTGCAATGTGGGGGGGCCGATCAACTGCTATTCGATGTATACGCGTGCACCGGATTGAGAGCCATCAGGGTGCCAACGCACTAGAAATATAGAAATGGGTAGGAAGTAGGAAAATGAGAGGAAACGCTTTAGAAACAAACTGAAACATTTCTTAGAGATGGCTCACCGCACACTTTTAATGCTCCTTGCCTACATTTTTTTGTTGTTTTGTTTGTTTACGGGGCATGAGAGTTCAATAAACAAACCGGATCGTACTTGCACAACATTTTTCAAATGAATCAACAGCAATTTGCATCCTTTTGGCCCCAAGCTGGCGGGTGGGAGTATAGGTTGAAATCAATGCCGACACTGGTCTCTTCATATCCGTATGCTAGGTTACGGTCTGATCAGCATTTCACCACTTCTTTTTCTTCTTCCAGCCCTAACCCGGGCATGTGTGAATAGAGCACACTACGGTATACGATGGACAGGATCAAGCTATCCGATCGATTTCCTCTCTTTCGGGGAAAAAACACCATGACAACCAACCTCTTCAATGATCACCCAATATGCCAACCGGACACGAATACAGACTGATGCGAAAAAATCAGTGGTAGAATATAGAAAGTTGGTTACCATGTTCGTTGCAAAAACGAGCGGGAGAGAGAGAGAGAGAAAAGGAGCACAGAGACGTTATTTTCTTAACCAAATACGGCTCACTTTACTCTCTGGCATCCCATTGACCGGAAATTGTGCAATTACTAATCTGCTACTTATGAGTAGTTTAACCAATATTACAACAAAACCCGTAATATATGCCAGAGAATACTCCGATAATTTGTTTTAAAGGTTTTATCAAGGTAAACTAGTTTGTAACATGGATACCATACGTCGCAAATAAGTATCGATGTATTCAGTAAATGTTTTTACAGAAAGATCAAACCACATTTGATACTGGATCTCATCCAAATGTTCCTAAATAATATTATCAACAGATCTGGTAAAACTTTTCAAACGACATTTAATCTGACTACCAAATGTTCTCACATTATTTGTGTGAGCACCAGTTGTAGGAGTGAGGAAACCATCACTATGATTCACACACATCCACATCCAACAGCAAATATAGAATGATAATCGGCCCATCAATCGGTGTTGTATCCATCGTTGGATGATGGGTATCAGCGTCTCTGCTGATCTTTTATCAACACCGACATGGTCTGAAAGTCACAAATCAAAACAAAGGACGCAAAATTACAATTTTTAACATAATACCTTGTTGGGAAAATATCCATTTTAGAAATTATAAAAAATTATCACATTCAGTTCAAATTTACGGCTTCTTAAAAGATGTCACAATGATGAAAATAGTATGGGGGTGCCGGCGGGTAACATGCGCCAAAAATACAAACTCCGGTTTTTGATAATTATATGGCAGCAAGCTTTACTTGGGCTCAGTAGAACAATCGTGAATTCCATAGCAGAATTCCACTGGTATATCGAGGATGACAAGAGAAAACTGAAAAGGAGTGATGTGGTATCTAACTCAACCTAGGGACAATTCTACACGCTCAACTTCTTCTCAAGGTCAACCATGGATAACCATTAAAATTTGAATCTAAATCAAATAGGTGCCTCAGACGTAAGAGAAACAAAATATATTTAGAGCTGTGTTAGGATCCGAAGTTGAAGTTTAAAGATAAAAAATATTAAATTGTTTAAACATATTTACAAACACTTGATTATTTTCTTCTCAATAGATTTGATGCTTCATCATCATCATTGTATAGCGAACGTCACTGGTCGCAGCCAAACTCATATTACATAAGTGATAATGTGTAAGGAGGACAGGAATCGGACCTATTTATAGGGACGGGACATGAAAGCGAGCCTCTATTGTCAACACACAGTACACAGTCCAACTGTGCATACACACTATTTCAAGCATTCTGGTCCGATAAGAAGTGACAGCAAGATAGCCATTGATGTCGGTTCGCAGCCATGACCTTCAGTGTTTCCAACCATGCGGTTTTGGAGTCTTTTGAACCCCAACCTGGAAGACGAGAGACACCTGCTCAGCCTAATCGCTCTGTGCCTTTCTTTATGCCTCGTCTCCACGTCATCTGCTGGCCTTNCGTGGTTTTCTCCAGCCTGTAACAGCCACTGCGAATAAGGTGCGCTGCGGTAGGCGACCGTTGGACATACGCAAAACGTGTCCTTACCAATGGAGCCTATTGAGCTGTATTGGATGTGACAGCGAGTTCTTGTCTGTTGTATGCCCAAACACCAACCAACCTGGATCAGACTATGTAAGCATCGATTGTTGAACCGTGCTAAACGACGAGTCTCTTCTATCCGCAAATTCAAAGTCTCACAACCGTAAAGTAGAACTGATCACACGGTGGCGCAGTATACGCGGCTTTTCTACTTCAGTGAAACCACGTCACCGCCACAGGTGTTTAAGTCCTGCGTATGCTGCTCGAGCCTTGGAAATGCGGGCGGTTATCTCTTTTTATGCGGTACCGTCGTTGGTCACACAGCTACCTGAAAGGAGAAGCAACTAACTTCAGCCAATTCCTGACCGTTTAGTTTCAAAACAGAACTCGGTGACACCAAGTCTTGTAGCAGCACTTTGCAATTTGAGGCTGCAAAGCACATGCCGAACGGAGCGACAGAACTTGCTAATCTGCCAAGTGCTCTTTGTGCATCCTCNATTCGATGAGATAGCGAGTTCTTGTTCGATGCATTCCCAAACACCCGACGACTTACTTCTAAATCACTAACCCGTTCACTCCATCCCACCTGGGCCAGACTACGTAAGCATCGATTGTCGAACACTGCTAAACGACTGTTTACACAGTTTGGGATGGTAATTTTGAATGGCTAGTGCCTCAGCGTATTTCAGAAC